ACCTAAGGTGGGGACAAGACTGGCAGAACACTAGTCTAAAGACAAATCTCCAGTTGAGGAGAAATGGGACAAGTGAAAATGCCAAGGACTGTAAAAATACTCTGAGAAAACCCCTGGTGGGGCACTATTATTGTGTATTTCTTTCCTTAGGTAGAGTTTATTCAGTTTGAGGAAAAAAACAGATTTATTCTAATTTTGACCGTTCTGGTTCACCTGCATCAGTTAAAAGCACTATATTTCATTGTGAATAGGTAATTATTTTGAACTTGTTGTCTGAAAGGCACATTTTATTAATGAGTAGGATCTGAAAGAATCTTTTTAAAAAAGAGTCAGATTTACCTTTGAGATAATAATGGCAAGCATACACAGTAAATTCTCCACCCATGATCAGGGAGGAGTTTAGAGGTTCCATATGGTGACTGGCACCAAACAAAAGGAAGCTGGTCAAAGAGGTTAATTAATTGGGACACATCCTCTCAAAGTTTTGCTCTGTGTCATTACTACCCAGAGATACTCAACAGGATGTGGTTACATTTCGTCTTCTTGGCATTTCAGAAATGTATCTGAGACTGCATTGTTGAGCCCTTTTCAGATTTAAGAGCTGTCAGTCCCAATACTTTTGTGTGACAGTGTAAATGAGAAAAGGATACATGTTTATATGGAGGCTGTCAACATAGCATTTACAGCAAGGAAAGAACCTCTACATCTCTAGGAACTAGACTTTTTTTTTTTTTTTCAGGGAACAGTGTTAGTTTTTTAATCCTTTTTTTCTTTTTTTCTCTCAGAAAATATAAAACATTTCCAACAAATATAAAAAACGGGTTCTATGTTGAAATTAAATATATATTGCTCATGTTTTTCATGTACAAAAATTCTATTTTTTTTTAATGAAAAAACAGGCTCTAATGAACAAAATTACACTTTCTAACAGGAAGAAATGTCATAGTAAGAAAATGAGCCAGTTCTGCTAGTAACTCTTTAGATCTTCATATCTACATGTGAGATATTCCTGGGTTCCATGATTTTCCTTCCAAATTGACCTTGCTAATGTGAAGGGGCGGAAAAAAACACTAGTTGTGCAGTAGCCAGGAGACAGTTGCCAACTTTTTAAATAAATTTCTCAGTCCCTAAAAACCCAAGAGCACAAAAAGCTTTGAGGATGTGAAGCCACAGGTCTCAATACGATGGTGCCATTTTAAGCCAGCATTATCTGAGCATTAAGCTTATCAGGCACAGCTGACAAGAGCTGTTTTAATGATAATGATCTACCTAGTCTGGCCATACACAGGCTCCTTCTGTGTTGACTTTTTCTTCCAGGAGCACAAGTCACTCTAATATAAAAAGACTAGATAGAGCTGTGGCAATAAAGAGCACACACATATCCCAAAGCGTATTTCTGGCCCCTAGCCTGCAGCATGCAAATAGTTTCATGAGCTTCTGTGGAGTGACTGTGGTGTCTCTGAAAGTTTTGGGGGAGGTAAAATTTAGTATATGCCTGTACAAGGAGGCATAAATGCCATCCAGAATTGGGTCTGAAACATTTTTAATATTTTTTTTTCCATCTATTACCTTCCACTTGAGTTAAATGTAAATGGAAAACAGACTAGTCCGTGTTACCTGTTTTTATAGCTGTTTTCTGGCTAGGTTTGTAGCCTGGTTCTCAGGCACTCAAGGAATGTTAGCTGGACTCACAACACTGGAAAGCAACAATCCAATGCAAAACATTTCCCTTTATAATTGGCAAAAATCATGGCAATATTTCCATTCTTACCATCTTTCAAAAAACAACTTCATGAAACATAATTTGAGACCCTACATCACATGGTACAGACCTTGTAATGGTAAAATAAAAAATGAAAAAATGCAAAATTAAATGTTCTTTTACCTATGTTGAAACTTAGTTACTGTTTCTGAAAGGTGCCACATATTTTTCATTTCCACTCAATTGTGGGTGGTTGTGATGAAAGAAGTTTTCTTGAGAAAAATGCAGACCTTATATTGGTCTTGCTAAATGCATTCGCTTCACTCCTTCCAATGCAGAAAAAAATACATAATAATAATAATAAAAAAATCAGGACTTGAAGTATGTTTCCTTCTGTGGCTCTTCATTTGTCTCCTCTGAAAGTAATCTAATATTGGTCTTATCAGTAGCAGGTTACCCCTCACGTCTGGATCTGTTACTTGTGGTACAACATACATAGTGCTTGAGAAGGCAAAGCATGCCTGACAAGCCACATAAAAACCGCAGGAATGTCACAGGGCTTTTTCGTTAGTCTACCTTTGTCTGAAGGAATTGGCCATAAATCTCAGTGCCTTCAGTGTGCCTACCCAAAAGTGATCACTGTGAGGTGAAGTTTGGCAGATAGCACATCCCACTGGTGTCAAAGGCTGTTTGGAAAAAAGTCTCCTGAAAGTGGGCATAAAAAGAATGGTTTCTTCAGAGAGCTGAACAACAGAGACCTCAGGTAAAGAAACCAGAATTCACAAGAACGATTAATGGAGCTCTTTGCATCCTAAGTCCAAATCATGAGTACATGAGGCACAGTTGATAATCAGATTAAGAACAGTTTACTGTCAACATCCCAATACTTAAAAAACATCACCCCAAATTCCTCATTCCCTAATGGTGTTTGCCACAACATAATGAAGCTCTCACTCAGACTGTTTTGGACAAAAGATGTTTGTAGAAAACCACTTTATGTTGTGGATAACCTCACAGGAGGATGTTTTCTGCTTCCATTTAATTTAGAATGTATTCAAAAAAAAAAAAAAAAGGAGCTTTGGGTTTGCATCAGCATACTGGAAATCAGACATAGCTCATGGGTATAAAATCTTGCCTGTTTCTGGATGTTATCTGGGGAGACAGTGCTGACACTGCAGTTTCAAGCCTGATGTAACCAGTTATCAGATGTCTAACATTTTTTTTTTTTTTTGTCTAATATGTGCATATAAACTAATGCTGCTGCAGTTTTGCTGATGGAAGATACTGTTTCTGAAGTACCCACATATATCTTTCAGAAGTCATCAAAATCCAGCACAGAATACAGATGTTCTCTATATTAATTAATTAGTTTGTTCAAAAAGCTTTAAGCTTGTAGCTACAAATCACTGGGACAGTTTCTTGTAATGAAATGTCTCTGTTGATATTGTTCCTGCTCCCTGGAAAGGCATCCTAGAAGACAACTACAAGTAAAGAGAAGTTACATTGAAAATTGGAAAAGTAAAACCAGCATATGTGGATGGAAGAATGGCAAAATTACATATTAGGCCCTTGCTTTTGCTGTCTTCAGCAGGCCATAACCTGAAGTCCTTGTTCAAATCTTATTCCCCTCTTTAAACAACAACAACAAAAAATCATTAAAATTAAAAAGTAATAAGTAAGTGAGGAATCAATTAGAAGGCTGATCAGTATTGGGTGCATGAGTTACCACGTTTTGTAATTACCTAACAAAGTAACCCTCTTCCTTTCTTCTTTTGGCCTTCTTTGCTTATGACTATAACCAGCATAACTGTGATGTGTTTGGAGAAAGAGAATATGCTGATTAACCTCTGCATTTGGTTATGGACCTGAAGTAAACTTAGAGCAATTATCTATTCTAGTAGCAATATATCTTTGAAAGACTCCCTGACACAGCTGTTTCAAAACAATAACAAACATGTATGGCTTACATCTGAGATTAGCTCTTCTATCTCTGAGAAATGTTTCTGGAAAACATTTGAGGTGGAACAGCATAGACTAGCCGTTGAGGTTTTGTGGCAAAACATGCAAGAAACAGAGTTCAGTGTAGTGATTACAGTCACCCACTGATTTGCTCCAATTTCTTAATTCCTTATTCCCACATGTAGAATTGAGGTCTTTAGGAAATACTTTCAGAAGACATGAACTCTTATTTTGCCAAAATAAGTGGACGATGTTAAAGGCTTTATAACTTCTTGACAGAGGAAAATCCTTCCCCATAAACCAGATCCCCTGGGACCAAGCACTTTTGAAATATAAATCTTTCTTACCTGTCTAGCTGAGCACTGAGCTTTTCTGGAACTCTGACCCTGTGATATTCTAGGGATAATGCTCTAGAAAAATAACAAGTTACAAATGTACACCTCTTGTGGCTTAGAATGCAAATTCATCCAGGATAAAATCCAGGTTGTTTATCCCTTAAAAATACATTTGCCTTTTATCTGAGCTGAAGAACTATCTGGTAACTCCTTATAAATATCTGTCAAGGCTGTTAGCCTTTGTTTCATTCTATATCAACTGAGAGATGCTTTTATTAGGAATGCCTTGCTTACAGAGGGATCACACAAACTTCATATTATAACAGTCAGAGTCTCTGCTTCTTCTCTGGCCCCATATCATCTGACTCACTGTATTTGTATATATTCTTAAATATTTTATAATTAGAACATTAAAATGACTGGGGACTTCTAAAATTTTGGATGATACTATACTAAGCTATCACACTGACAAACCTTGCACATCCCTTATCCTGCCCAAACATAGCTCACTGCAGTACACACGTGCATTAGATACACACTTATTTGCACACATTTGCAACATGTGCACTACATGCTGACAGTGACATTATTCCATGAATACGGATTTAGGCTCCTAAAGAGGCCCTTAAGTAGAATTACAGACTCCCTATCTCTTAACTTGCCACCACCTTTGTGTTTTCAGTTAATGAACTGCATCTTTCTTCCCCTCTCATTGCATGCGTTCTTTTAAATACCACTCTAAGTAATTTAATTCTTGAACTGGCTTTGCAGTACTGAGCTCTTGATTTCATTTAAGGGGACAGATGACAAAACATTAGCTATGGCTCTACTAAGCTTTACGATTTTCTCTCTTCTGAGATACAGCTCCTGAAGTATTGTAGATGAAACCTTCAAAGTAAAACCAAATGACGACAGTTGTAATAAAGATAAAAAAGGGAGGGAATAATGCTTAAATGGCAATATTTTAATCACAAAGTATTAACATTTATTATTTCTATTTTCAGGAGAATGAGATAGTTGCCAGAGGTAAACCAGAAAAGTATTGGGTGATTTTACCTCATATAACAAAAGCAAGAGACAGACCAAAATCAGGTAAGTACAATCTTGCAAACATACATTGGTTGTCATCAATTTATTAAAAAAAAAAAATCAATACCTTGACTTTACTGAGGCAACAGAGACATTAGTTTTATGTATATGTGTAGTCCATAGATGTAAATTAAAAGTTTATATCTTCAGCTTTAATTTATACCTGTACGACTTAAATTCTTATGTACACAAAATATTCATGAAATGTTTGGGGTAATCAAATTTCTTGACAAGGAATTCTCAAAAACTTTTGAATTACAAGTATTGGCATCCATTAATTCAGATACCTTTGAGGAAAAAACAGCCTAGTGAGTGTAAAACAAATCATAAACCTAACAAAATAGTCTGCTGAAATAACAGCAAATTACTACTTTTTTTTTTTTTTTTTTTGAGTAGCTGCTTTTCTGGTACCTGCATTTCCTTTCATGTTAGAAATAAGCATTTTGGCTAAGGTCAGTATCCAAAGATGTTAGCATCATCACAGGTAGCATCAAATCCACTGAAGGAGTCTGTCACAGTTCCTCTCAAAGTGTAAGTCCAACTGCTTAAAAGTAATACATCTCTGAAAATATTATTTATTGTTAGATTTACTAAAGAGGGGACCTATAACATACTATGGGTTGCTAAGACTCACAATGTTGCTTCTGCAACAGGTGATTTATATTCCCATGGAACTCGAATGCACTTGGAGATCATATGGAGAGCATCTGAGATCAGCTGGGAATCATTAGGTACCTTGCAAGATTAGACCCATGTGAGGTTGTCCCTAGAATTAACTTTTTTGCTCATCACTAACCAGTTCTACCTCCTCTTTTTTCTTAATCACTTTATTTGTTTCAAGGGGACTGATAAGGCCCTTAAGGAAGTCCCATAATGATACTAATTAATTAATCATTGGTAGCAATTTGGGTGTGTTGGAAGAGCTGACCTCGGATAATTCATGCATTGTGACATGATGTACTTTACAGTGCCAGCAGCAGAAACAGCAGGAGTGCCATCCTCCAGCTGCCAGAACTAATTATAAGCAGTTTGTCTTTCCTTCAATGGCAGATTCTGTTTGTTTCACAACAGCCAATTTAAAAGTCACTTTTAATATCATCATCAACAAAAGAATACCTGGAAAAAAATGTGCTCACTTTTGACCAAGAAACTTTAGAATGATTTGGATTTCCATGGCTGCTTTTGTTAATTGAAACAGTGAACAGAAGGCAAAAAGCAGATGGAAAGTCTCTCACAGGAAAATACAAAAACTGGTATTGCTTTTGCATGACTAATGTGGTGCTAATACGTTAGTTAACTCAGCAACTTAAAATGCAAAGTCACTTTTTGAGGCTCTTATATTCTACGACCAAGCTTATGACAAAGGACCACAGGCTATGCTTTCTGTGAAAATTACATCTACGTTGAGTCTTAGTGGGAAGAAGGTGCTGAGAAAGTCAAGTGGTCTTACAGAACTATCCCAGTGTTCATTAAACTAGAAGGTAGCTCACTGTTATGAATTCTTTTCCTTCCTGTTACTCGATGCACTTACACACTCACCATTAAAACCCCATCTTAAAATTTCATTCTTCCTCTATAGTAAGGTGAAAAGGTTAATTCCCAAGGGACTAATCCTGTGAGGTGCTGAGCGCTCTCAGCTCCCACTGACTTCAAAGCTAAATATTTGGTTCACATGAAAGCCTCTTTAATTCCCCATTACTGTAAGGTATACTTGTATACAACAGTGGGAGCAGTTGTCATTATAAATCAGACAGTTTATCAGGGGAGCTATTCTCCAGGGCAGAGCAGATTCTAACACACCACGACATACTTTATTTGTTAGCCTCAATTCCGCAGGAATTTTATTCAGGCAGACACCTCAAGGCATGCATCTTTTCAAAGTGTTTAGGCAGGAAGCGAAATTCAAATTAGATACACTTACGATGCAAATGCATTATTATTTAGCTCAAAACGACTGAGGCTCAGGGGTCGTAAATCCTGCCATAAAGAGATCTTTCAATTACCTTCTGTTCAGTGAATCAGAGAAGAGGAACCCTTTCCCTGGCTTTTTCATGCAGAACCAATTTGACTCCCAAACAAATATCAATCACCATAATACTCTATATTTTGGCCTCTATATAGACGTAACTCCAAGCTGTTTTATATGGGTTTTTCTTTCAAGATGGTGTCAAACCAAAACCTTGCATCTTTAGTGTGACTGAAATCTGAACCCAGTCTTGAATGACTCCTCCCTTTGTGAGCTGTGCCAAAGCTCCAGAATAAAGGATGTTGGAAACCCAGAGTCAGATCTAGATATGATTTTCTTTCCTTTAAAATTTCATTTTTTCCTCAGCTCATCCCTGTCCTTCATTCCAAGCCAAACTGTATTACTCCTTGCTCCCTAATTTTTTTGCAGTGTAACTTTGGTGGCTCACACTTCCCTTCAACTCCTTGCTTGATGTTTGGCTTTCCTAACAGTCACCCAGTTGCCTCTGGTTCTCCTGCCTTCTTGTCCCCAGATGTGTCAACCTGTTCTGCAGACTACCTGCCCACTGGAGATACTGACATTGTGGTCATTCATTATCCATCGTATTGACCACAGTGTCCATCACAGACACCTTGAATCCTTTCATTAGTTACTCTTATTCCACTGCATCAAATTCACACTTTTTCCCCTCAGAACCCCACGAACCCCTCCTTTCCCTTGGTTCTCTGTTTTTATGCTATGCTGAACCCCTCCTGCTTGCCATTCATCCAGTTACACTGATCATTTCCACCCATCTCCTCCCCAGCACTGTGACATTTTGCATAGAGTTTTATTGCATGAGACACTGTGAAGTTTTTATGCCTCCTCCTGCTTTGATCTTCTGGACAGGTATAAGAGCAACATCTCTTTACATAGTTCCTCAAAACGTGTGTGAATTCCTGTGTCCACAGACAGAGCATTGGCTGGGAGTGTCCTAGTAATGGTGAAGTGCTTGTAGTCAGCATAAGGTTTCAATCAGTACAGTTCTTGGCATCTATATCCACATGCTAGATTGTCTGTGGGAAATTTCAGTTTTGTCATAGCACAGTGGTGATTGTATAAATGCTGGTTTAAAGCTTCTGTGTGGCATAAAATAAAGGAAATAAATGTCTCTTCAGATACGCAAAGACATCACAAAAAAAAATCATAAAAAAAACAACACAACTTTCTCTGACATGGAGAAATTGTAAGGTCAAGTTCTCAGTTCCTTATGGTTAAAAAAATATATATCTTTAGGCTCATATTTAAATACTATTTGATGCCATATTTATAGCAATGCACATATTCCAACAATATTTTATGCAACTATATATTGTATGTATGTTCAGTAGAACCACATTTAAATATATCCTCCCAGAGAAACTTGCTAGTTCACAGGCATCAAATTAAAATTTTGATTGTGTTCTAAGTGTATGCATGTATCTTCTCACATGCAGAATAAATAAATTGCTGTATTTTTCAGCGTATTTTAAATGGAAGCATGCTTTTTAAAAATAACGGTGTGGCTGCAATGCTGGTGAAGCGTGCCAAATAAATATCTTCAGAGACTGCAGTTTTCCATGGGCTTCATCCAGAGACTATTACTTTACATCAACTATTAGAGAAGAAGTATGGGTCCTGTGGTTAGGGAATAGAGCTATGAGTCCAGAGGTCAGGTTTCCATTACCCACCCTGCTGGACCTGCTGCTTAACCTCAGGCTAGTCACCTGATCACTTTGTAACTCAGTTTGCCCATCCACAAGGAGGGCTTAATCTTTCCTACCTACTCAGTAGGAAAGCTCTGCGGTGTATTTTGCTAATGTTCATAAAGTGTTTTGAAATGTTTGACTAAAAAGCAAAGCGCATCTCTTGTGGTTGTGTTTTCATCCACAGAACTAGTACTACCTTTACAGTCATGATACAATAAAACTAAGCCCTAATGATAAAAGTGGTTCCCATAAACTTCCACATTTTTTTCTTTTAGCTCTTCCTCCTTTTCTGTCAACTCAGGTGATTTTTTCCCCCTTTTTTAGAAACTAAAAAGAGAAAGGTCCAAAATAAATTAATTTACTTTACAGAATTGCTCACTCAGTTTCAACCAAAGTGAGAACAATAACAACAACAACCACATTTTAAATGAATTGCTAAAGTAGTCCTTTTGTAAATTAGGCTTTATGAGTATGTGTGGTAAATAAATACAATGGAAGCAAACGCATAGCCATAGCTTAAAAGATACTATCACTGGTTCCTGAGTTTGTGCAGGCCTGCTTAGGTCTTTATCTGTGATTCCACTATCTAAACAAAAGCTTATCTTTCTGTTACTGTTCTTATCTTGTTCGTCAGTCAATTGTTTGCTAAGTATCTCAGTGAACAAGACCCAAACGAAAATGGCTGTTCATGTATAATTTGTTTGGATCAGATTAAATTGGAAAGAAGGTAAAAGTGAGAGACAGAGAAAGTAGAATGGTCGTTACGAATGAGTAGCGGAGGTCAAAATGAATTAGCAAACATTATGTTTGAAGTTTTCTCTTCCTTTTGTCTGACTTTTCTGAGTAGTTTCTGGCAGAGGGTAGCTATAATAGCATGTCCAAAGGAAATTCTTTAGCTGACGTGAATTTGAAATGTCTCTTATTATTGTAACGTAAGAAAATGTCTTGGGAAGAATAAAAGGGTCTAACACAATTATGGCTAACATAGTTAGCTCCCTTTGTCACACTGTTGCCTGCTGACAATTCTTCCAGTGACTGCTATTACTTTCTGTTCTACCATGCATTTCTCATACTGATTCATTTTACTGCTGTATCAGTGCAAGTCTTTGAAACTGATCCTACATCTTGCAACTCCAGAGGACTCTGGAAGGGAGAAACTAGCCATGTTAAAGTCCTTTGTTGTTCTGGTTTTTTATCACAATAATACCTGTATCTGAGATTTAGACTCTGTTTTGTTCAGAAGCGGCACTATCTTATGACTTTATTTCAAGTAGATAAGGTAATCAAAGGATGCCTGGGGAATTAAAAACCTTGCAGGACGTCATAACTTGCCAAAGGCACAGCATGCCAGCAGCAGCGGAGCCAGGACTCTGGAGTTCTGTTGTGCTTCAGCAGCATCCGCAAGCTGCTAGTATAGGCATGTTTCCCACTTCTCGCTCTCTCCTCAGCTCTTTACTTCTCAGTAAAGAGAAGTACTCAGCAAAAAGAGTACCCTCTCAGAGATCTAAATCCAGAAGAACAATAAAGCTATTTAGTTGATCCCCCTTCGTACTACAAGATGGATAATTTTGTTAGGGGTCCTTCCTCCACTCTTTCTGGCCTGTTTTTTAAGACAGACTTGTTCATTTAAAACAAAAAATGAAGCCACAAAAACCTTATGTAAACTCGCACCCTTACATTATCTTCCAATGGTTACTGGCTCCCATTTTTAAAAGTGCATGATTTATTTTCATTTTGAATTTGTCAGGTTTCAGTGTCCAGATGTTGAGCCTTGTCGTATACTTGTTTGATAGAAAAAATCTCCAAACTAAGTGGATGATTTTGAATAGTCCTATGCTTCTTTTAGATAAATTAAAAAGATTTCTGGTCTTCTGCATAGATCTTTGTAGCTCCTTTCTTTACTTCTTCCACCTTGTCAGTATTTTATTTTAGTAGAATGAGACTCAAAACTTGGTACAATATTATTCTTCTGCAGCAGCTTCAGAAAGACCACATACACTTGTAATACTTCCCTTCTGTTTGGATAGTCTTCTGCTGACACGACCAGAGATCTTGTAGCCATGTCACATTCATTTAATTATTTACCCTGATGATTAACAGTAGGGAACCTATTTGTGTCTCATACCTCTGTCCACATAGTTTCGCCAGCATCCTGCTGCCAAAAGATACTAATATTTCTTGATGATTTAACCACCCCATTTAACCAAATCCCCTCCTCCATTGAGTTACATTTTCTGCCATGCCAAACCTCACATCTCCCTAAGTCATCCAAATTCTTCCTTGCTTAGACCTTCACCGATTTCCGCAAACTCCACAGCTGATTTTTCATCCCTGTTGTGAGCATGTCCAACAAGATGTGATCAGTGCTAGAAGCAGGAAAATTTTACATCAGAGACTATTCAAAATTAAAAGTCCCAGCCATTACTTCTACCTGTCCCCAAAATCTTTCTGTGCTGTACAGAAAAGGTTGGAAAAGGGAAATCACTAGAAAACGAATGGAAAGAAAAGCTGTGTTCTTTCAACAAACTTCGCAGTCTACTTTTATATGCTCTACATATATATATACACATATAATTTCCAGTAGTGATATGCTTCCTTTTGTTTACCCATTTAATGGAGACATTTTCAGGATTATTCAGTCCATCATGTGCTTTGAGATTCTCAATTCGCAAAGAAATGTAGTTACTCATTCTCAATTCATACAAAATTAAAAAAAAAAAAAAGATGCCCCCATGCTCCCAGAGTGATAAAATCAAAAGTAATATTAAACACCCCTCAGACCACAAAATGCCACCCTAAAAACTCTGAGGGGACCTCCTCTGAAACTCCATGATAGTTAGCAGATAGACATATCCACCAGCACGCCCTGTTTCATTCTGTGGTACCTGCCAGAAGGCTCATTAGTAATAAGTAATTAGTAATAAGTAATAAGACTCCTCTGAGAACTTTTGAAGGCCAGCAGCTCTCTCCCTAGAGTCTTCCAGCAGAAGATGACATAGTATAGCTTTTTCAAAATGCTATGTTTCGCATCAGAACATGAATCTGACTTCTTCTTCCTTGTTTACAGAGTCATCCCAATGCAGAGGACTTTGAGGCACTGCCAGGCAGGCTGTTCCTACAGGGAATATTGTGCTATGGGGGTGTGCATATGTGGAGCACTGCTGGCATTGCATGGATGGGACCAGTGAGTATGTCTCTGCGTGGCCTTGGTCTAAACCAACTTGTTCTGTCAGAAGGCTTATATCACTTCTTAAAAGTGAATATTGATAACCATGCTGGAAAAGCCATGGATTTGTTGGTAGGACATCAAACATCCCATGTGAATCCCAGCCAGAGTGCATCAACTTTTGCTGACATATTTCTTGGCACAGGGCAGGATGCGGCCCTTCACACAGCAGCCCCTTCATTACTGAGGCTCTGGAACATGTCCAGAGAAGGGCTACAAAGCTAGTGAAGGGTCTGGAGCACAAGGCCTACGAGGAGCAGCTGAGGGAACTGGGGTTGTTTAGTTTGGAGAAGAGGAGGCTCAGGGGAGACATTATTGCTCTCTGCAACTACCTGAAAAGAGGGTGTGGGGAGCTGTGGGCCTCTTGTGGATAACTAGCAATAGGACTAGACGGAAAGGCCTCAAATTGTGACAGGAGAGGTTCAGGTTGAAAACTAGGAGACATTTCTTCTCAGAAAGAGCAGTCAGGCATTGGAACAGGTTGCCCAGGGAGGTGGTGGTGTCACCATCCCTGGGGGCGTTCAAGGAAAGGCTGGACATGGTGCTTAGGGACATGGGTTAGTGGGTGACGTTGGTGTTAGGGGGATGGCTGGACCAGATGATCTTGGAGGTCTTTTCCAACCCTAATGATTCTGCGATTCTATGATCTCATGTACAGGCCGCAGGCCCGGCGGTGCCAGTGAGGCCCTGGCCCCAGCCCTGTGTTCCCAAGCGGGCGGGAGCTGCAGGGCCGGCGCTGCGGTGCTGGGCTGCCGGGCTGCCTCCGAGCCTGAAGCCAACCAGAGGTCGCTTGAAAGCCGGACTTGCACAAATAAATATTTTGTGTAGCTGTTATGATTATTGTCGGTAACTGTCCCCATTGTTCGGGCGCGGGAATTCCTTTGGTCTCATAAATACTAAACCAAGTCCTCCCCTCCCCCCTTTAACTGTCAGATAATTACACAGTTGGCTTTAGAGTTTAACTTGTCAAAGGAGTTTCATTACTTTGTTCCTTTTGGGCAGCTTCCACTATTGTGCTTTCTGAACACTAAACAGAACCTATATTAACTGTCAGTTAATTACACACCGTTTTTCTTCAGTATTTACCAGTCAAAGGGGCAGGTAGGCTGCAATCCTATCATCTCAATCACTGTCTCTGCTCACAAAAGAATCAATAAAGATGAGTCACTTAGTGTCACCCAGTGTCTGATACTCAAAGCCACCCATTCCTAATTGCCTTTAGAGATGGATGATAATACAAACTTTGAAGTGATAATCAGCCTAATGAGTGGCCTTGCTGAGAGGGTAGATCATGTGTCAGAACAGTTTGCAGATGCTTACAGGCAAACAAAGCCAGCTTTCCTTTTGGAGCTGGGAGGACCATGGCGAGTCTGGTACCCAGAGGCCAGCACAATGGCAGAGACTGGAGCGCAGCAGGACGCTGCAGCCTGCTGATCACAACCGACTCCATCCATCTTGCTCTTTGCCTTTAATCAGCACAGTCAGAACAAGTCCTCCAGATCCCTGCATGTTTATGCTGGATGTTTAGGCAATAACTGTGCAAAAGATAAATTCTCTGATTCTGAGTCGCTGGATTTAAATAATAGTGATTGGACTTGATGGGTAATGGCCGGGGATCCCGGCTAAAACTACCGAATAAATGTAATTAAATACAATCGGGTGCAGTCAGCCAGGCAAAGGCAGAGACCATAAAAGGCTCATTCAGACAGCAATGAAAACAAACAACGTCAGCAACAAAAACAAAACCAGTGTTTGGTTTGCTAATAAGAGCATGATCCGAGGCCTGATCTACACTCAGGTTTTGCACCCAACAATTTGACCAAATCAGTAAGTTTAAAAAAGCAGCAACAAACAAACAAGAAGACAAATAAATTTTGTTATAATCCCATTGTCTCGGTGCAGTTATTATAACATTTTCTTTTCAAAGTAGTTAAACTGTCATAAATTCAGTCAAGTGTGAACAGATAAACTATGACCATGCTTGTACAAATACAATAGTCTCTATAAAAGGGTGGTCTTGATTTAACAATCCTTTGCCAATTTAGCTTACTTTTGCCACGGACTGACCGGACATGATTTAAAAAATCATCTCACACAAAGACTGATCATCTGTAGGATTGCAGCAATTTGACTTCAAGGTATAAATGAAACATATGAATGCATGTAAGTGGACTGGTTAGCATCTTTGCAATTTAGACTTCACAATTTATAAAATATTTTGGGACCAAATGCTAAAATCTGTATTTCCTTTCTTCGAACTATTTTTCACTGAGTCACTAAGTCAGGGACAGAAACGTAGTGAAAAAGAGTGAAAAAGCTTACCAAGGACTTCAGGATGTGACACTGCTTTAATAAGAAGCTGTCAGAGGTCTTTAATATTTTGCAGTCAACTGTTTTGCTTGTAAAACCTGTCATGCAAATAATGAATTACTGAAAGAAAATGAATGAGAAACAAAAATTGTCCTAAAAGCAAACAAATCCACTGAAATAAAAAGTAAGATTTTTTCTGCTTTTAAAAAAGACCACCAAATTATGCCCTTTTTGGATAAAACCAGAGTCAGATTTATATATTTTCACCAGCTTTACATCTGCCTTGCTTCCAATCTTCAAATCAGTGAAAAAATTGCCATCTTTAAGATGTGAATAGACAGAAAAAATAACTTTTTTTTTTTTTTTGGAGTTTATATATGGATATAACAGAAGTACAACTGGAAAGGTTTTAGAGTTCTCTGATTATATTTTTGTTTTCACTTTTAGGTAGTGTTCTCTAATAAGTAATAAGTGATGCCGAGTAATATTTTCTTTATGTTCATGGAGACCAATGTCTTCAAGCTCTGTGCTACATTTAGTATCTGTAATTAGCCCAATTAACACTGTCTACAACTGAATTCACAATAAGAAGATAGTTTGGTTCTTCTGGTAGAAAAATTGACTTCACAAACAGGCTCCAGAGACTCATATTCACCAGTGCTCATATGCTGCCAGCCATCATACAGAATATCTAACGTTTCTGAATTCATAAAGCTGGAAGCACATCGAACCATAGAATATCCAAGTTGGAAGGGATCCACAAGGATTGAGTCCAACTCCTATGTCCAACTCCACAAGTCTTCTGCTGCTGTGCTGTCAGTCCCGCAGTAGCCCTACAGCACTTCAGAGTTACCTCAGTGGCAGCTGTGAAGTTTTCCACACAGTTTTCCACACAGTGAGGTTGTGGGTGTGTTCCCAACAGACCCACAGCTCCTTCATCCCTGCTTGCAAAGAACTAGTGAGAACTGAACTTTTCTAACAATGCTGCCATGGAATTTCTGGGAAGTGGTTTTGAGTTGTATAGATGCTTCATCTTCATTCTTACCCTGGGAAATCAGCTGGGAACGAACACCTCAGCTACACTGAAGTAATATTCTTCTCCATGGAAAATTCTAGCTCACACTTAGGTTTCTCCTACAGATAACATTCATTTAAAATCATACCCTGTACATTTATAGTTCTTACAATTTAAGCTAGTTTTTAAGTAATAAATTTCCTAGTAATTTTTTTAAATATCACTGAATAATTCCATATGCATATGCATAGGACTATATGCACACCATAGGTTCATCCTAATTTAGTTAAACGCAAATGTAATTATAAGCATGCAAGTCTAAATATGTCCTGTCAAGCACAAGATATTGCTATCATTGCATATCTTATCACTTGTAATCACAGTCCAGAACTCCATTGGAGCTCTAAAGTTTGTTGAAGAAAGGGAAAGCTTACCTGTGCTCAGACCTATAGACATGAAGTTGATAATTTGTGATTAGTTAATGGGAAAGTGATGACATATAAATTACGGTTGCAAGCTTAAGCACGCATGCTGTGGGCAATTCTGGGTGGGAAATGGAAAGGGACAATGAACAGAATAATTGGGTTTGGTGACGCATGATAGCTGATGTCCACTCTTCTTGACTCAAATCAAATCTTGACTCAAAATTTGGATTGTAGCTGGGGATGTTAAAATCCACGTGACATGAGGTACTGCAAGGAATTTACTAACTAACTGCTTAAAACAAAGCAAATGAGACTTTAAATGTATCTTTGAAATCCACTCAGATGATATTAACTTTAGGATATGAGTTTAATATTTTGATATCTCCTGTTTGAATTATTGTACCTTATAGAGGTTTTCTGGTGCTCAGCTTTTTACAGATACCAATCAAATAATCCTTGTCTGATAGATTTCCCTACATGTAAAGCCCTAAGAAAGGGAATTATAACTATGATTTTCAAAATAATTTTATTTTTGGATGAGCTCAGTTTGAGCACCTTAAAGAGATATGGCTATCGATGGATTTTGGATTTAGCACATCCTAAAAATATCTGAATTTTTATACTTAGAAGCAGGGGCTAGTCATCTTTGAAAATATAATTGCTAGTCATCTTTGAAAATCACAGGTGTGGTTTCTCCATCAGTTCATGCCACTCTTACATTGGGTCATTGCTGAAAAGAAGGAATCCTAAATTCCCTCTGTTTATGCACTCTTTAACTTCATTATTTATGCTGGCACTCAAGAGATGAAGAGCAAGCCAATCTGATGGAAGCATAACCCAACAGAATATACAAGGTAATATGTTTGACTGGGCAGCCACACAAGTGGCAATGGCAGCACATGGGCAGAGGCTGCCAGGGCCAACCTATGGCTTCATTCTCTGCAGGCTGATATTTAATCTAAAGTGGGAGAGTGAGAGAGTGTGACTTTGGCAAACTATAGTTACACATCCCTTAAGAAAATACCGTTTATAAACATAAATAAATTAGAAGATAAACATAATTTAAAATAAATAAATAAATAAATAGAGGATATAAAGAATAAATACTTCAACTTCATATTAGAGCAAGAGGAAAGCAGAAGAGAAAAAGACTGGAAAGTTTATAAAAGAACATAAATTATGTATGCTCTCATGTTAAGCTTTTGATTTACATATTGAGATCTACAGCAAGAATGGGTTCGAACCAGCATCTCCAAGCTCTGTTTCAAAAATGTAGTTTTGCAAGT